TGGAACGTTTAAAAAAAGTTCAAGATAAAAAGTCAAAGAAAGAAATTCTCGTTTTTCGTTGGAAAGTAAGTTTTTCAAAAATAATGGAATGATAATTTTTCACGGAAAAGAATAACTTTCCTGTGCTAATCTATTTTTCTCTCTCTCTGTTTCAGATTACTCGGCTGCACGCTGCTCCTGTCGTGCGCCATACTCGTAATCGCGTCCGAACAAACGATAACCAACTTCGAGACGGTTCACACGAGCAATGCCGCGATCCTGAATCGGCTCGGCCTCGCGCCGCTTCAGATTCCCGATGGACACCACAAGAAACGGCTTGCGGGTCCCGAACCACCTGGACTAAACTCCCAGACGAGAATTCATCAGCCGTACAGCCGTCGACACGGTCATCGAGACAGCCACGTCTACATAGTCAAGCTTCCGGCCAGTCCACCGTACTACACCATCACCAAGCCGCACAAAAACGTGAAAGACGAGAAGGTGACCAAGACCGGGCCAAACTTCCCCGTAGGATTTCAGGGAAATGGAAAACCCGCCAAGATCTATCACTGGAATCTGCCCGTCGTGAAGAAGATAAGCGAGAAGAAGAGGCTGCACGCTCAGATGAAAATGGAGCAAGCGAAGAAGAAGTTGGACGTCTCGAAGAAGTATCAAGGCTCGAAGAATTTCGAGGGCGGTGCTCGTCAACAACAACAAGAACAACAACAAGGTACTCAGGATCTCTCTCTCCAGGAGAAGAAGAAATATTTCGCCGGTGACAACGGGAAGATTCGCCAGAGCGGCGGCACTCCCTCGAAGCACGTGAGGAACAACGACAAGAGGCTGAGCTATCCCGAGCACGAGGACAAAAAGTCGACGAAGAAGGGTAACAACATCGGGACGAGCAACAAGACGTACAGGCTGGACGATTCGGGCGTGCACAGGATCCACTTGACGAACGAGCTTCACGGGGCGAGGAACACGGCCAAGGTGAAGAAACACCGGAAGAAGGCCGCCATGTCGTACTACGCACCGATCACGGGCAAATCCGGATCAACCAGCATCCACAAGAATTTCCCCGGCAACGGGAAGCCGAAGGCGTTCTACGTGATGGAGAAAAGTCGCAAACCCGTCTACTATCATCCCTTATTACCATAATCCGCGACTCGTCCAGAATCCATCCGCGTAATCGCGTCACGTGTTGGCGGCCCGTGTGAGCTTGTTAACTTAAAATAGTCGCGACACGTCGACGACATGGAGGTGCGACAAGGCGAGGATGAGGATGTTTGGGAATGACGAGATGGGCGAAAGAATGAGAAGAATGCGCGCGCGCGTGTGAGGGGGAGAGAGAGAGAGAGAGAGAGAGAGAGAGAGAGAGAGAGAGAGAGAGAGAGAGAGA